GCCTTCTGCAGACCAGCATTTTGATGGAATCTCCTGCAAGGCAACCCCTCCAGACTGGAGGGGCAGAAGCCATATCCAGCCCTGCTCCCTGGTTACGCTGGAACCACTCAAGGGAATCATGTATTTCCATTTCTAAAGAGTGCACCAAAGGCTAGGCTCTTCTTTAGTCCAGAATATTTCCCTCTTGCTGCTTAAAGGCAAAGCCATCTCGACAGCATGCAGAGGAGTGGGCGGCTGTCATTGTTTGGGAAGACTCCAGCACGCCAAGAGTGGCAGGAGGAGGCTGGAGAGATGCCGGGTTAAAGATCGTCACAGACTTTCTCAGCAGCAGAATTTAATTTCACCTAGAAAGGTCCTGAGCAGCTTAGAAAGCCCCCACCTGCATTTAGTTTAAAACAAGCTCCAGTTTTGCACACCAAGCATGGCCTGGCTGAGCTGGACCTAGATCTGGAAAGTGATGGTAATCAGAAAGAAAGTAGCAGCTTTTTTTTTTCCCCCTTAATATATATATATATTATTGTCACTGACCAGGATGCAGGGTCTGGGAGAAACAGTCACCTCCACAGTGAAAAATACATTTGGTTTGTAAAGCTCTTTGGGTTTGCTTAAATTAATAGGCTAATAATATCCCAGGAAAGGATTTCTGCGTTTCCCTAACCTCATGCAAACAGCTTTCTAAGTATTTTAATTAAAGAAGAATAATACCTCATACTTTGATCTAGTACTTTTATCTATATGTAGATGTTGAGCCAGACTAATGTATTGATCGAAGGAGAGAGAGAAGTCTCAGAAGGGGTCTCTAACCATAGAAAGAAGATTCAATTATCTTCCTCCTTAAAATCATGCAAAAAAAAATAAATTAAAAAAAAAAAAATCAGACTATGATTAAGCACTGGATGCTTCTTTCCAAACATTTCTCTGCTGGAAGCATTTTGTCCCAGGATTGCTCCTGTGCTCAGTACTGCACTTGTGCTGGTACTGCTGGGCTGAGGGCTGCAGGGACACTGGCACCTAGGCTTCATTTTCCCAGAGGAACTGGGACTTTTAAAAAGGCCCCAGGATTTCAACCTAAAGCTGACAGCCAGTGGTAAAAGTCCTACCTGGTGTAGGTGAGTTTTGCAGGGAGTGTCAAAGCACTGCCAAGTGCAACACAACCCTCCTCAGCAAGGACAACCGCAGCACAGAGGGTGAATTGTCCCCAGCCACCAGATCTCTGGTGGGGACTTTTAACTACCCCAACGCCCCAGTGCCATCAGCACTGCCAGGAGGGTGGCTCCTCACAGCCCCAAACACACCTTCATGGGGCTCCCCTCTCCCTGGGAAGCCCGGTACAGAGGTGTGGGTGGTACGTGGATGGTCCAGCCCTCTGGCACAGCCTCGTGCTCCACAGGTCCTGCTCAACTCTGCAGGTCTCCTCTCTTGAGGGCCCGTGTGCCAGAGCCCCCCGTGTGGCTTGCTGAGCTGCTTCCCATCCCCTGTCTCCCCAGAAGAGGAGCTCTCACCTCAGGGGGGGGCCCATCCTGCTCTTCTTGCCTGCACCCTGAAATTACAGCCTTCTTTCCCCTCGCAGCCAGCCGGGAACACACGGCTCAGGGTAAGCTCCCTGCTGTGCTCCAGCCAGGTCCCAGCCCCTCGGTTGTGTAGGCACCAGCAAGGGCTGAACCCTGCCCCTTGTCAGGGCCTCGGCTGCACCTATAATCTCCATCCGTCTCCAAAACCCAGCAGTATAAGCTGACCTCCACTTGGATGGGCTTACCTGCAAATAAATAATAGTTGTACTTCCTCAGGCTTCCAAAGACACTTGCATTTAACAGGCTGTGCCCTGAATGCAGGATTTGCTTTTTAATCTAACCTGATCTTGGTCAGAAAACACAGCACTGGGCCTTGCCCCACAGCACCTCTTCCTTCAGAGCAGTGTGGTGTGTAGCGTGGCACAGCCACCTCTTCCAGGAAGGAAAGCAGCTCGCCCATATCCTCCTGTATCACTCCATAGAACCATAGAATCGTTTAGCTTGGAAAAGACCTTTAGGATCATCAAGTCCAACCATCACCCCAGGACTCTACCTCTGCCCTGTACAGCCTGTTCCAGGTCTTGACAACTTTCTGTGAAGAAATTTTTCGTCCAGGCTGGGTAAGGCTGGATGGTTCAGGTCACTACCCACCACCCGCCTGGCACAACCGAGTGACCTCAGTGCCACCAAAGTCTCTGCCAGGTACAGGCCTCGGTCAGGAGCCCAAACTGAGGGAACATCAGCACCTGGGATTGCTGCTGGCCTTACACCCAGCACCATCATCTGTACCCAAAACTTCCTCTCCACTTCAGACAGGTTCTGACCCGTCCCTTGCATGGGTAACCCCCCACTCCCAGCACCCTGTGTCCTGCCCCTTGCCACTTCCCAGGGCTCTGAGCCCCCTCGGGGGGGCTGTGAGACCCCAGGGGAGCCCCTAGAGAGGTCCCCCCATAGCAAGACGTTTGTTGAGCCCAGCCCGCCCTCCACCGGTGGCTGCAAGAGGAACAAGTGTCCAAAAGTGGGCTGGGCACATCCGCAGAGGCTGCAGCCATTGCTGCACACCCTGCACCAGCCCCCCAGGGCCCGGGGACACCCCCAGGCCCCAAACATAATCCCCACAGGAAAAGCCACCTTGTTTGAAGGCTGAATCCCAGAGGCACTGCAGGGCTGTGGGAGGCCTGGAGCTGGCTGCAGAGGAGGCCAGGTGAAGCTCTGAGCTGAGCCTTGCTCAGACTCACCACATCCAGGAGACTGAAAAACTAAACTTAAAAGTGTTTAGCTCAGAGATGCTGGAGAAGCCATCAATCTGAACATGCTCAGTGCCTGAAGGTGCATCTGCTATACAGTGGATGCAAATTTCCAGAACTTTTCACATGGTGTGTCTCAACAGGCAACACATTTCACCTAGGCTCATGCAAGACATTTCTCCCTGGTACCCCCACACAATGAAGGAGTCGGGTTCCTCCTGCCCCCAGGGTTGGATGCAGAGGGTCCAAAAGGGGGTTCTGGCAGTAAGGGAAGGGGAGTGGGTACAAAAAAAAAAACTTGTCTGCAAGGGCAGAAAGGAGCTGGAAGGTTGAGGATGACTAAACATGGAGAGAAGCAGAAGAGGGAAGAGGGAATAGGAGAAGGGTGGAGAGCCAGACATGCCAGGATAGACAGGGACAACTAGGCCAGGACCAACTAGGATAGCAATGATGAGAACAGGACGAGAAGAAAGAGGGAGTGGGGAGTCAGTGGAGGGGCCTGGGGAGGGTCTCATCAATGGGTTGTTTTCACACAGTCATCAAACCCAGAAGCATGGGGCTTGCTTCCCCCTGCTCCAAGATGAGCTAAAGCCTGCACAAGGAGGTTGTGCTCTGGAGCATGACTTCCCAGTTCCCAAACTGTCAGAGTCCCCCACCTCCCCACACACAGAGCAGGACTGCACAAGAAGAGGGAGGAAACGCCAGCATAGCCCATACTCGCATTTAATCGTGAGGACAGGACAGACTGGGGCACGCAGGTACGTTGGTGTGGAAGCACAGTGAGAAGAGCAGACACACCCCGCCCTCACAAAAGACAGACATCATTTTAAGGATTAACCCTGCTGAAAGCAGAAAAACAAATCATGAGGAAAAAAAAACAAAAAAAAAAGAGGCAGAATAAAACCTAACGCAGAGTTTTCTCTGGAACAGACATTTCTGCACGGTCTCAGAGGACTGGTATCAGACATTGCTGCTAAGGCTGTTCCATGTCAGACAACACGAGGAATTCACACAGCATAAGTCAGGTGTTAACACAGACATCTCAGTTCGGGACCCATCTCCCATGGTGGAGACAGGGAGGGCTCTTGCAGGAAGGGATGCAGAGCACGTGAAGTCAGGCTCTCACAGAGACCACCCTGCAGAGGACTTTCTCTCCCCTAGGCAAGTTGTCTCCCATGTTGAGGGCACAGACATCACCGCAGGAAAGCCCTGAGAGCTGCTCCATGGTCCTGAGTACATTTAAGCAAAGGCAAACCAGGCCCTTCATTCCCACTCTCCCACCTGCTTTCTGCAAGGAAAAAGGTGCACAAAACAAGGCTGCGTCCACAAAAGGTGGAAGTAAAAACACCCAGAGAAGTGTCCACAAGATAGTGACATTTGCTCATGTCCTTCACCACGGAGCAAGGCTGCAGGACAAAGAGCTGCACCCACGCTGGAAGAGGAGAGTCAGTCCCAGATGAGCATCCTGTCTCCCTGTGAGAGAAAGGGGCTCTCCAAGAGAGGACAGGTCTGGGCTATCCCTCCACCTACTGCACAAACCCAAGACACATTCAAAAGTACAGACAATAAATTAAGATTGGAAAAAAAAAATAAAATCAGCATATATAATATATATAATGTAATATAATGTGCGTGTGATTGTGAAAAACAGAAATGTCATCCCCAGGAGAGAGCAAGGCATGGCAGAAGCCCATCCCTGTCCTTCTCCCGAGCCCAGCACTGCCCTGCACCCCCGATTCACAGCAGAAACACAACACCAGCGGCACCACACAGGGAGCAGGGGTTGCTCCTGGCACCCAGCTTCCCTCTGCCAGAGGGGACCTTGGGCTGAGGAGGAGCTGGCTGCTTGGTGGAGGAGTGGAGAAAAAGCCCAGCACTGGTCCCTTCATGGCCTTCACAAGGAAGGGTTCTGCAGGCAGGAAAAGGGAGGGAAAGACAGGAAAAGCAAAGTGGAATGGCAAGGGCACCCCACCCCTCCTTAACTGGCCAGGGCCCTGCCCCTCCCATGGCACAGGACCACCACCGCTGTACCAAGTAGAAAATAAAGCCATAATGAGTCTATGCTTTGGTATGTAACCTCAGTCCCCTCGGCGTTCCACCCAAACCATTATCTGTAAAACTTGTCAAATGAAATCTCTAGTGTGCCTTTGTATCACTCCTTGAACCTTTTCTTCCCCAGTGCCTGCCTTGTCCCACTCTTCCCAGCAGGATTTGTGCAGGCACCTTGCTTGAGCCCCACCAGTTACAGCTTCTGCTCTCCTGACTGGATCCTGCCAAACGCTGCCTGGTCCAGCGGCAGGTAGCGGCCTTGCCTGGAGTCCAGGAAGTACAGCCTGTCCTTCACCAGCGTGGGGTCAAACCCCTGCTTCCGCAGCTCCGTCTTCTGGAACTTGTAAGTGCCTGGAGCAGGGACAGAAGGAATGAGGGGTCACTGGCCACACACGCTCCCATCCCCACCGCACCTGGGCTGCCCCAGACCTCGCCTCGCACCCCCACGCCTCCAAGCCACCAGAGGAAGCGGCCAGGGGTGCTCCAGGGGGCAGAGGGGCTCCATCCCGACCCTACCACAGCATGGTGGCTGTAAGCAGGCTCCCCCAGCCTGGCTCCCCCCAGCCCCGTGCCCAGCGGGAGCACCCGGGCAGCTGCTCACTTGTCTTGGAGACTTCCCGCAGGCAGCGCAGGAACACGGG